CAACTGCCTAGGTATTCCCTGAAGCTGCCAATAATGGGGGATGATCAGGGCGGGACAGACACCAAGTCCATGCCAAGGCTTTGCCCCACTTCTAGGCTCTAACTCCCCGGCCATCCCGGCGCAGGATTCCGAGGGCGGAAATAAAGATATCTCCCCTTTCAAAATCACCCCGACTCCGCGTTTTCCAACCTGGTCAGGAGACAAAACAAAAGTCACACAACCCAGAGACTGTCTCATGCAGTATGATAGCCGAGTCTTCTACTGCTTCGCCTGCGGAAAATGAGCAAGACGCCGCTAAGCAACCCTCCAAGAGACGCCGGATTGGCTATGCATGCGATCTTTGCAGGTGGGACTTCTTGACCCCAGACTCCACCTGCACTGTCTGCAGGGCTGTGACGTTTTGGAGACTGACGATTCTCCAGGTTGAAGAAGAATAGATGCGATGGCGAACGTCCGTCTTGCCAGCAATGTCGACAGCGTCGGCAGGAGTGTGTTTACTCACCCCAGAGGGCGCGAGTGAGTGTCACGCAAGAGTAGGTATCACCGTATTGTTATAGTGGGGTCTTTGATATCTCACAAACTAAACAATGAAATGCTAATGCTGAGACTGGGAAAGTTATGTTGAAGAGCTCAAGATGCGGAATGAACTGCTCGAGAGACAGCTTGCGGCCACGCAACGAGCCAATCCACGCCATTTGTAAGTGCTATCGTCGATGGCCCAACCAGCCCTGTACAACGGCTCACAGATGGGAAGCAATACCCCTACCTTACCGGGAGAGATGGAAGGTCCTGTGACGGTACCCAGCGATGATGGGCGAGCCACAAATCCAGGGAGCCAATACGTCTCCCCTTCACAGAACCAAACACTGGACCGTCCCCGCTTGGTGGAACAACAACAAGCCATGCGCATGCCCAGCGAAAGCCACACTGCTGCATCTGATCCAGCAACTGTTCTGAGCGATGCGAACAAGGGCACACCAACTGAGTACTTCGGCGAATCTTCGACTTTTGATTTCATGGCCAAAGTTGGTTCACCAGAGAAGGAAGCATCAACCGTGCGCTCGGGTGTCCCTGGCGGTGGATCCTCTCTGAGAGATCCCAACACGTCCCTCGCAACCTCGTCTCCATCAGTACCGTTGTTTGACCTCTTGAGTGCCGAGTCGGACGATCCATTCGGGCTACCGTCTCGATTCGTGGCTGACCGTCTGGTGGATGCATATTTCAAGTACCGGCATCCGCTTAATCCATATCTGCACGAAGGGACATTTCGACAGAGATATCGGCGGCTGTGGCTAAGTCAAGATCTAGGCGGAGAAGAGGCTACACAGCAGAGCCTGGCCTGGTATGGGCTGGTTAACCTTGTGTTTGCGTTCGGAAGTGATCACGCCAATATCAGTGGCCGTTCAGCTGGCGACCGATCCCGCTACTTCAAAAGGGCAAAGACTCTACTTGTGTCTGGCATGTTACAAATTAGCACCATCGAACTCGTTCAAGCTCTGCTATTAATGGGTCAATATCTCCATGGGGCTCTCGAGCTCAACAACTGCTGGACGGTCATCGGACTCGCAATACGCACAGCACAGGGATTAGGGTTGCACCTCAATCCTGCCACCTTTACTTCAGATAAGATTGAGCAGGAGGTTCGCAAGCGTGTGTGGTGGGGCTGTTTCGTCCTCGACCGAGTCCTGAGCATGAAAGTTGGGCGTCCCACGATCCCAGACGGCCCAGGAATCGAAGTGGGAATGCCACTGGCAGTAGACGACGAGTTCCTGTCCAACGAAGAGGACCAATCTGTTCAGCCTCAAGGGGTTCCTTCCAAGCTGGAGTATTTCAACCAGGTTATTCCGCAGTGCCGGTTGATGGAAAAGATCCTGAAGACTCTGTACAGCGGTGACGGGCTCGGCGACAATTCGCAGAAAGCAAGGCCCGTGATGGACACAACTCAATTCCTGGCCCTGTCGATCCAGCTCGATGGAGAGTTGACCACTTGGCAAGAGAACCTCCCGAACCATCTCAAACCAGGGGCAGAGGGTCTGGAGTGGCATTTTGAGCGACAGAGAAATGTTCTGCTTATGAGGTGGGTGTCATCCGCTCTCGGGTTTTCTCAATTGGCTAACAGGTGGGTTCATGCAGATATCTTCACGCGCGACATCTGATCCACCGCCAGACGCTGTTGCTTTACATCACGCGGCGAGTCACGGACCATTTCCAGCGCGAAATTATGCTCAAATGTGTCAAGCGCTGCGTGACGGCGGCCTACGACTCGATCACTCAGATGGGAAGTTTGCATCATCAGAACAAGTTATCGTCATTCTGGCACAACTCGCACTGTAAGTGCTCTCCGATGGTTGTCCCATTTGACGAGAGACTGATTTGTTTCTAGATGTCTTCGCGGCACTTGGTGTCCTCTTGGTATACCAGACCGTCGAACCCCAGTCCAAGGCTGATATTGCTCTGCCGCCGAATGTGGACGTCGACCATGCTGTCAGAATGGGGCTTGAGCTACTTCAACGTGTGGGTGGCCAAATGCACCCACTTGCATCTCGATATGTCCAAGCCATCCAACAGCTACGAGCTAGGCTGCAAGCCCTGCCCACATCGAGGAGCAAAGCTCCGTCGCGAGAGATGAGCAGCTCCGACAGGAACGGAGCACAGACCGGGGCTGTAACTTCTGGAAATGCCAACACCAATCAGCCGCAAGTACCGGCTAATGCCGTCGGGTACCAGTATCCTCATCAAGCCCAGCATCAACAAGTCGTAAATCCCCTATATCCTGCCTACACGCAAGAGGCGTATCATGTGACGGCCGGTGAAGGGTCTCTGAGGGCTGGATTTGAGGACGAATTTGCCAATATCGAGAGCATGTTGATGGACAGCACGGGCTGGACTGGCTTGATGGATGATTGGAGTGACAACCCGGTACGTGGCACGCTCAAACCCTCTGATACTTCTGAAAGGCCTGAGACTAACTAAACCCCGTGCCAAATCCCTTAGACCTACGCCAGATTCACATACAATGGATTCGCTTGAACCTCCCTGCTCCAGGCAGTCCACGGTCTGAGAACTGTCTTTTCATTGATCCCGGTGCAATCGGCCACCTCATCGTCGTCGAGAAACGTCAGGTCTGTCGCTATGCCGTCGTCCTCCCCGTGGCTGCGGGCACTGGATCCCAGCGTCAACGAGCTCGTCAGCATCACCGCCGTGGTCTGGACAATGGCATTGTTTCTCGTGTAGATGGACCGAAAAACACAATGCTCGATCGACGTGGCAGCCACACTCATCCCGTGGCCTCGCATCAATACAACGCTCCGGTCAAGGTTGCCGCCACTGCCGGGTGTATTGGTGAACAGTGCCGCAAGTGCCGCGCCGAGGTGCTCGGAGCGGATCAGGAGGTCTTTGATGTCTCCCTGCCTGAAATGCGGACGAGGTTCGAAGACTGGCGTTTCTTTCCCTGCAATTCAGAATTAGTATCATTCCCATTTCCGGTGAGCTCCCCTTTTTCTTCATCTCAAACTGCCGTCTTCACACCATCTCGCTGACCGAGACTCGATCAGAAGGGAAAAAAGGCTGACCCGTGCAGAAAATGCGTGGAACACGGCGACACGACAACACCAAGGGTCGACGAGACTTACCCAGAAATCCACTCGTGTTGACACAAGCCTTGAGCCCCGAATCCCCTCTGCCCAGCAGTCCCCACGGAATGACCTCCCGCGCGTGGCTGTGGCACACGCTCTTCACGGCCGCGAATCGTTTATACAGCTCCGAGTGGATGAAGCGCTCCGTGTAGCCCCTGGGGGCGTGCGGGTCGACGGGCTCGGCGTCCTCGACACGGTACTCGACAATGTCGTCGGGCGAGGCGACCAGCGCGGCGGGCACGTAGCGCGCCATCAGGAACACGGCCGGGTTGGTCGGGTGCCGCACGCTGATGTGGCCGTAGGCGTCGAGGACTTGGCCCTGGTGGTGGAGGATGTGGTTGGCCGTGATGAGGGTGCGTTTGGCTGTTGAGAGATCCATCTCTCTCGCGACTTCTCGAGGGTGTTCGCTCCTTTTTTTCTCGTGGGGTATTAATATCCTTTTCGACAAAGAACAGTAAGATGATGACGATGATAGTCACGGTGACGATCGACGAGAGACCTGAACGACGTGTACGTTTCCACCCGCCGCCTCGTTTAAAGAGGCGACCTGGGGCAAGGGACAACTATTACATGCCACTACAGACCCAAGAGACAGGACAGGACAGGACAGGACAGCCGGAGCCAGATTCGATGCACGTGCTTGAAAAGGAACCAAATGTGGATTTCATACGGGACAAACAGTACCTGACATTGTCAATGATTAACTCCGCTTTGGCCGTGGATATGTATGAAAAAGTCCCCAGCACGTACACGTATACGTATACGTACTCGGTAAAGGATACCTACCATACATACCAAGGTATTTTGTCGGATAGTCTCCTGACACTTTTTCCACTTTCCTGTTTTACACATACATTCCTACACCTCATGAGGTACATAGATTGTCACCTCTGGTGGGCAGGAAAGTTCTGCCCTCCCCTCCCTCCCCTGCCATCTCCTGGGAGAAATTTATCTCCCCGGCCGAAATCGCCTCCCCTCCCGGCTGTAAGCTCCGCCATTTTTTTTTTACCAGCCTGACCCATTCTGCGGGATATGACCCGGCAAAATTATAATATGTGGACTCGACGACGGGACGGGGGTGGACTAGATGGTCTGTTCTATTAGATCAGATTAGGGGTTGTTTGGTCAAGGGCCTGTGTATTTGTTCTCAGGCAGGGATGTCAGACTGAAGGTAAGGGTAATAATGTTTCTTCCTCAGTGGTGGACTGACTGTTCTATACATTATATCAAAGCACGTCTATCACCACCCACCCACCCGCGTACTAGGTCGCAATCACTGTAAAATTACCAAAAAACCCCGCATTCCGAAGCATCCAATTCATGCCCGCCTCGCCTTATCCCCCCAATCTATAGTCTCGAGACCAGTCAAGTTCCAGCCTTGACCCCTTCGTCCGCGAATGTCGTTGTCGTTTCAACCGGGATGTTCGCGTCCGGCACGGGCTCGTTGATCGACCTCCATTCCGCCGCAAAGGCGGTGAGAAAGGCGACACCGCTCACGACGGTGGTGAAGATCCACGCGTCCCTCAACCCAATCATGTACGAGGTCACGACGGCGGCGAGGTCGCGAGGGTGTGGGAATGCCTGTCGAAGGCCCGTCGCTCCAGCAGCCAGGACGCTTGCAGGGGTGACGACCGAGTTGTCATGGGGGAGGCTGTCGATGAGGCGGTTGTTCAGAATGGCCTGGCCGGTCGACACGCCGAAACCGCCACCGACGAACTGTGAGACTGTGCGTGCGTGGGTGACATGTCAGCCGTTGGTATCCTGTGGATTCCTCTAGGTCGGTGGAAAACTCACACATCATGATGCCCACAGTGACAGACAGGTCTTGTCGCGCCGAGACCTTCTGCGCGACCATGACGGGAAGCTGGATGACGATGCCCTGTCCAACGCCTGCGACGATCTGGTATCCGATCCAATGCCCGGCCGAGGAACTCGGAGTCAAAGTATAGTATAGCCCAGAACCTATCGTGATCAAGATGCCGCCTGCCCAAAGGAAAGGCTGGTAGTAGCCGATCTTCCCTAGAAGGATGGCGCAGCTGAAAGTTGCCAGTGCTTGTGGTGGTTTTCGTCAACAAGATTGGCTTGTGATGGGAGGGGGATTGACAACATACAGAATGATAGCACGCTGGGAATCGTGCGCACGCCGCTGTTCGATGGTGACACGCCTTGAACAGCCTGGAAGTAGATGGGAAGAGTGTATGTTCGGGAGACGCCACCCATGTTGGACCTTGAGACACAGCATAGTCAGTCTCGAAATCTGCATCATCGACCATCTTGGACCTTACACGAAACTGTAAATGGCACACGCTGCAATGGTGCGACTCTTCAAAAGTCGTCTGGGAATAGTGGCCCCGTCGCCCTGTGTCCACTCGGCGACGATGAACGCGATGACAAACAGCCAAAAACCAACGAGCAACCCAATGGAGAAGCTGGAGTTCCAGGCGTGCCGGACTCCCCCGTCTTGCAGCACGAGCAACAGACAGATCCAGGCGCCTAATCCCAGGACAACTCCCATGACATCAAACTCGCGGTGGTATTCTTTCCACGTCGGAGCCTGGACCGATTGAGACTGCGGTGGCGTGTTGAAGAGAAGCAGAATGATGAGAAATGTTGCACCTCCAATAGGCAAGTTGATCCAAAAGCACCATCTCCAGGTAAGATCCTGGGTAAAGACTCCACCGAGCACAGGGCCCAAGACAGAAACACAAGCCCAGATGGCACCAAACAGCCCCATCACGATGGACAAGCGTGAAGGTTGGACGATGAATGCAGCAATGATGTAGCTCCCTGAGGTGAGGCCCGAGCCACCGAGACCCTGAACCGCACGCCCAGCAATGACGGCGATGCTGTTAGGAGCCAAAGCGACGACAAGGCTGCCAACTTCGAATATGAGGATACAGGAAAGAAAGACAATCTTCTGCGGGAAGAATTTGTACGCCTTGCTCCACACACCTTGGAACATGGCCAGACACATCAAGAACGCGGAGCCGTACCAGCCGACCTGGTCAACGCTGTGGAACTCTTTGGTGATGGTCGGGATAGCCGTGGCGATGATGCTCTATGTCAATTGTCAGCGTGCTCCTCGTCGGGGAGAATATCCGCTACAGACCGTATCGAGGCCAACTATGAACGTGGCAAGCATCAAGGCAATCACTAGGATCGCTTGTTTGAATGGGCCTGGATACGACGACGTGGCTGTTGGCGTGGCGGTTTCTTTTGACGTCGTCTCTGGCTGTCCTTCGATTGACGTTGCGGCATCCTTGCCTTGGGTGGTGCGGATATGAAGTGACGAGACATCGTCAGATTTGGGATCGCGGGAATAAACTGTGAGGGGTCGCTCAGCAGGTCTATCAAGCAGATGGTCGGAAGGAATGGGAACGGCTGATGGTACCTGCTGCCATGATGAAGAGGGAGGCGCTGAGCGAAAAGGTCCGAGATGCCTTCAATGCAGAGAGCAGCCGTGTCACAAAGACTTTGGGGGTGGTAGCCTCTTCAATCCATTAAACCATCAAGGGCTGATTGAAAAGCAAGTCAGACAGCACAAGGCTGCGCAGCTAGTTTGACCCTCCGAGGTGAGACATTCAAGAATTGTTCCAGAAGATTGAAAATCCATGAGATTGATGTTTGGCTCCGTCAGGTGGGCTCCTTTCCGAACAAAGATCCCCAGTAGGTGGGGACAGTTGAAAGGGGTGGCGTTCGGTACGAGGGTACATACGAGGTAGGTAGTCGTAGGGTCCTCGTTGCCAGAAACTGCTGTGAGTCAAACAATGCCACCCAGATGCCACCCAGATGCCGCCTGAACCGAATCCTGCCACCGAAACTGCATCACTGTCAGCATGATCTTGAGATGGATGTGATTGGCGTTCCTGAGGCAGGGATCTACCGCCATCGACAGGGGAACCCATTGACATTCCTGGTTAGGTACAGCATTATTACTGGCTGGGTCCGACCTCGTTCAGCTGCATGGCCCTAATGTTACTCGTGGGCGGACGCTAGACTAGCGTCCTGATAAACTTGTGCGCTAATCTGATGAGGTTAGTGTATGGCGTTGTAGTGGAGGATTCCCTTCAACTTGACCTATCATAGCTCAACATCCCCTAGTGAAGGTGGGGTTGACATTCGCCGAAAGGGAGGGGTCGCAGTTGCGTCTCTACCAGTGCTCGTGCTCGTACATACGAAGCAAACATTCTGTCGGTGATTCTAATATGCGGCACCGAACACTTTGATCCTCAAAACTTGGGGTAGACACTCATGTTAGGCACAATTCGCCGACTCTCCCCTGGTTTCCTGCAGCGCCTTCCTCATCTCCCCCAGGCAATCGTACCTGAACAACATCTTCCTCACGCACCCAATTGTAAAGTCTGGGAGCTCCTCCTCCGACAGGATCTGCCTCACCATCGCCTGTGTCTCCTTGCTGAGGTCATACCCCACCCCGGTCGTCCGACTCAATAGCTGTACAGCGCTCGCCCTCGTCATCCGTACGCGGTTCCAAAGGGCTAACCTTCCCGCCACCTCGTTCACTGCTCTGACTCCTGTCATGGCCAACCCTAGGGCTCCTGCATCCTCAATCGCCATCCCAGCGCCATTGCCAAGAGTCGGAAGCATAGGGTGCGCCGCGTCACCGAGGACGATCAGATGGTCCTTGTGGTACGTGGGCAAGGGATCGCGGTCCGCCACTCTCCAGAGATACATGTCCTCCTCCTCACAGTAGTCGAGAATCTTGTGAAGATCCGGGTGGAAGCTCTGCATCCGGTCGCGGGCGACTTGTTTTGACGACTGTGTCGTCCATTTCTGCTCGTTGGCAGGCACTTCGTTGACGGCGGCATAAAAGCCGAAGTTTTGAAGGAGATTGCTAGACAGACAGGCCAGGTTAGTCAAAACTTGGTCGAGTCGAGTGAGATGTCACTTACTCCCGACACGGGTACCGCAAAATCATCTGGTCTTGCCTTGCACCCAGAGTGACAGAGGTCCCGTGGGGTGCAAGCTCCATGTACTCTCTCAATGCGTCGTCTTCCATAAGTGATTTTGTCGGCACGCAAACACGCACATTGCTGATCCCGCTGAGTTTCGCAGGTCTCTCTGCACCATCTTCCATGATGGCTTGATGAGCTGTGGATTTCACGCCGTCTGCCGCGACGATGAAATCTGCCCTTGACACTTCTCCGTTATTCAGTGTGATCGAGCCCGTAGAGTCAAAATGCACGGCGGAAACTCCCTCTACAATCTCCACCGGCACACCGGCACCATCTTTTGAGGTGGCAAGATCCCTTAGACAGTTGTGCAGATCTGCCCGGTACGCAGTCATTGACGGCGCTCCACACTCCGTCTCGAGTTGGGCCAACGACGACCGCAGGAGGACCTGAAATGGACGTTGACCCGGTGCTGCTTGTATGAAGACGTCTTCGGTGCAATGCACCATACGAGCACTCTTTTGGTCGACTCCCAGACTCCGCAGGACCTTGACGGCGTTGGGCGATATACTGACCGCGAAGCCGACTTCGTGCTTGTGGCGGTACTTTTCGAGGACAGTGACCTTGTGGCCGGCTTGACGGAGTGCGACTGCAGCAGCTAGGCCGCCAATGCCCGCGCCGACGATTATGACGGTCAGCTGGAGCGACATCTTGAATCGAGTGAAGCAGAAAAAGGGTAAAAGTGGGATTGAAAAGCCCACCGTAATGGTTTACGGGCGAATTGTCAACTTTAGAAGTATCCAAACAGTCTGTTAATTGGATGCCTATGCAGCACGGTAAATACAACACAATAGAGACGTTGCGTACTGGCTCTCTCTGAACGCCTCGAAAAAGAGTCCAGCGGAACCAACCCAGGCCGAACCTGGTTTCTGTGCCGCAATACACCTTCACATATCATATACATTCGGCGATTTCCGGGGTTTGTTGGTACTAATTGGTATCTACGCAGCCAGTATGTATAGAGGTAGCCTGTAGGTGGTCGGACATCCCAACTTCTCATTATAAGCCAAGACTAGCAGCGCTATACAATTGACTTTGTCGTCGACACATTGTGATCGTGCTGGAGAACAAGAAGATGATTTACTCGTTGTTTCTAGCTGGCGTGGTTGCAGGCCTGATCTGGTTCCTCGCCACACCCTTGCGGACAGGACTATGGCGTTTTCCAGGACCGTGGTGGCGTCGTTATACAGGTATCCAGTCAACACGATATTTCTCAATCGACTGATGTGCAATGGAAAATCTAACTCGCGCACCAGATCTCTTTCAAGTGCTCGACACGTACCACGAGCGCACACGTCTGACCATCGTGCAACTCCACGAGGAATATGGCCCTGTGGTCCAGGTTGGTCCTCGCACGCTGCTCTTCTCGGACCCGGCCATGATTGAGCAAGTGTACGGCAACAGGTCACCACTTCCCAAAGTATGCAATTTTACAGACTCTTTACCCACTAGAAGAAATTTGCTAAGTCGGAGCAATACCTCCCTAGAGCTATCACTTTAAACCGTTGCGACACGAGCTCAATGGCGTCGTCTACCCGAACATCCTGGCCATGGAAAGCACCAAGGACCACGCAGCCATTAAACGGCCCATTGCAGGCATCTACTCCATGTCCAATGTCACAAAGTCGGAGCGCTTCATTGACGAGTGTATCCTTCAGTTTGTGCATCAGCTCAACAAGGAGTTTATTGTAACGGAGAAGCCGCTGCCCGTTTACCAGTGGGCGCATTATTGTGAGTAGCAACCCCTTTTTCCTTTGGCGTGTTAACTCTCGACTCACTGTGTGTCTCTACACAGTTGCATACGACACGATCATGAAGGTCACGGCATCGGTCGACTTTGGACTCATGCGGGGCGAAGCTGATCGAGAAGGCATGTTCAAGGGGTTGCATGATGCCCAAAAGTTCCGGTCCATGGTATGTTGGGCGTTTCTGACAAAGAGACAACCCCTTGGGTGGTGACTGTCCACTAACAAGGCAATGCGATCGCGACAGGGCGTCTGCATGCCTTGGGTCTTTGCACTTCTCAAAAGAACCCCTCTGGCCCAGGTCATGATCAAACGCATGGGCTCCTTTCCCCGCCGGGCACGCGAGCTCATCCAGAACAGGAGGGCGCAGGGAAAGACGACCACCAAGACCAACGACCGCGAAGACCTCCTCGACCAGCTCCTGGAGACAAAGGAGAAGTTCCCCCAGACAGTTGACGAGCTGGTGCTGCACGGGTATGCCACGACGCCCCTGTTCGCTGGTGGCGAGTCGGTTGCGGCGATCGTGACGGCCGTGGTCTACTTTCTAGGGAAACAGCCCTCGATCGCCGATAAACTGCATGCCGAACTGCAATCCTCGGGCCTCCAGATGCCGCCGCAGTGGGTGGAGGTGCAGAAAATGACCTATCTCGACGGCGTCATCCACGAAACCTTGCGCTGCTTCCCGCTGGGTGCAGCACTATCCCGCCGCGCCATCCCTCCCGGTCGCGAGTTCGTCCTCGACGACGGCCGCCGTGTCCCAGCCGGCACATCTGTCGCAATACTAGGCGGCGCGACTCATTTCAACCAAGACGTCTACGGCGCGGATGCGCGATTGTTCCGGCCCGAGCGGTGGCTCAAGGGGCCTACAGAGAGCCCCGACGAATACGCCGAGCGGCTACGCTGGATGAACAGGGCAGATTTGACATGGGGCGCGGGTGATCGTGCCTGTATGGGCAAGAACATTGCGCGGTGCGAGATCTACAAGCTCGTGGCGACGCTGTATTCGACGTTTGATGTGAGTGAGGCTTTCTGTTATATTCTCTCACACGTACACCCGCAGAGGGCATTTTTACGTTGGGAGCAGGACTGACCATCTGAGCAGATAAGACTGGTTGACCCGGAGAAGGAGTGGAAGTTGAGGGAGGCTCTCGGGATCAAGCAGGAGGGCGTGGAGGCAACGCTTCGTTTCAGACCTGGGGCGAGTCTCGAGCAGCTTCAAAGAGTAAAGTAGCAAGTAAGGGACGTGTCTGAGTCGGACGACAACGGCGTTTTATCGGTAATATGTAACTATGCAGATAGCTAGTAGGTAGTTACGTCTCACGCTGTTTGCCATGAAATTTCAAGCAATAAACCCCGTAAACGAACCAGTATGGCCCTCTCTCTATACGAGGTAGAAGCGAGGTACACCACCAAGCCTGGCTGAGCCAGACTTTTACGAAGTCAACCTAACCACACACTTCTCGCCCCTAAGTTCGCCCTTCCTAACCATGTCCATCCCCACCAACACCTCCTCCAAACCCCCCTCGAGCGTCCTCAGCGGATGATGCCTCAAGCGGCCCTCATCCAACAGCCTCTGCGCGATCGCCCACAGTCTCTCCCCCAACGCGAAATCCTCGGCGCTCGGCGCCCGCGCGTACGGCGGCGGCCACACGCACCCTTCGCCGTAGAGGCTCGGGCCCAGGACCCAGTCGGTCTTGACGACGGCGCGGGTCGCGGCGACGGCGGTGTCGAAGGGGTCGAGTGAGACGTATTTGCCCCCAGCGCGGCCGAGCGCCGCGAAGCAGAGCGTCGTGGATTCGACGGTGCTGATGCAGTCGAGCGCGTAGCGGAGGTTGTTTCGCGTGTATGATTTCTAGATGATTTGGTCAGACGGGGGACGGATAGACGGGGTCATGTTGTTGTTGTTGAACGGAGAAAAAAAAAAAATAAGAACTGGATCCACGTTATTGTGGTAGAGGGCAGTTGTAATAAATGACAGAGCCAAGGGAACTCTGGACAATGCACACAGAGGGTAGATATATTACACGGGGTTGGTCACAACTTACTATCTGACTCGCACAGTCGGATTCATGGTAGTCAAAAGTCGCCTCGACGCCGTAGGACTTGAGCCGCTCGTTGTGGACCGGCGAGCACGCCGTGATGGGGATCATATTGACACTGTGCCCGCCGATCAATCAGTCATGCCACATAACAATCGATCAATCACCTCCAAACGGTCCCTCGTCAACACTTTCGTCACCCCCCCACTGTCCAACAAAGGGGGAAGAAGAAAGTGTGTATCGTGAATCGGGGGTTTTTTCCTCGCACAGACTCACAGTTTGAGCAGCTGGATGGCGATAGTGGCCGTGGCCGTCCCGCCGCCATAGACAAGGACGTGCGCGGGCTTTGTGACGGGCGTGTCCGGGAGGGGCAGACCAAGCCTGTCGAGCGCGAGGCCCGCGGTGCCGATGGCCGCGCTCATGGTGGCGCCGCCCTCGGTGCTGACCGACGGGGGCAGCTTGAGCCAGAACGGGCCCGTCGGAATGTTGAACTGGCCAAAGGCGGCGCGCAAGGGTCTCTTGGCGTTCATCTCGTACTGCGCGCCGCAGACGCGGTCGCCGATCTCGACGGCCGTGACGCCCGCGCCCCGCGCGACCACCGTCCCCGCGTAGTCGGCCCCGAGCATCGCACCGGGCGTGACGAAGTCGCCCCGCATCTTGGTGTCGCTGGGGTTGAGCGACAGGGCTTCGGTGCGGACGAGGAATTCGTGGCTCTGGAGCGGAGCGAGAGGCGTGTCTTCGCGGATGACGATGCGGTCGCCTGCCTCTGCGACGATGGCGCGGTGGGTCGTCGGCGGGACGAAGCCTCTGGCCGTTTCAATGCCGACGGATCCCATACTGACGAGCTGCGGGTTGTCTCAGCTCCTACACGGGATATATTAGCAGGTGTTGGAGAGTGAACGAGTTTGTGATTTGCCTATTGTAATTGTTGACTGGGGTTGTTTAGTGAGAAAGCGCCCAAGTCGCGGATGATACTTATACCAAGGTAAAGAACGGTACCCCTGTGCTCCGTCATAAGGATTGTGTCGCTTGACGCAGCTGCGCTATACATTCCGTCCCATTGTGGTTCTGCATTGAGCAATCGGTACAAGTAAGTACCTCGTACTCGGTCTGTTCCTCGTACACCTCCTGCAATGGAAGACATGGTGTGGATCCCCCCCTACATGTATGAAGTAGTGGGTCCACTCCACACTAACCCGATACGGGGGCCCATTTCGGTGATTTTAGGCTTTATTCGGACAAATCACCAGACAACCACTTTGGGGAGAAGGAGACGGGGGGTATTCTCCAAGTATCCCTCTGAAACGAAAGAAACAAGAGTCGTCCTCCCTTAGCAGGGGTACAAGAAAAGAAGTACTTTTTCAACGACATGGGACGATAAGGATACACGCGGTCACAAGTGCCCCCCCGAAAAAAAGAAAAAGAAAAAAAGGACAATGACCGTCAAACCCGCCCCGAAAAAAGCCCTTTTGTGCTTCCACGGCACCGGCGCCAAGGGCTCCATCTTCAACGTCCAGATGGCCCGGATCTGCTACCAGCTGCGCGACGCCTTCGAGTTCATCTTCCTCGAAGGCCCGCGCGAGTGTCCGCCCGGACCGGGCGTGCTGCCCATGTTCAGCGGCCAGGAGCCGTACCGGGGCTGGTTCGGCGGGCACGACGTCAGCATCGACGACAGTATCCGGGAGATCAGCGGCGCGGTGCAGCGAGGTCTGGAGGACTGGAGAGAGAGCCGTGTGGATGGAAATGTGGAGATTGTCGGGGCCATCGGCTTCTCCGAGGGCGGCCTCGCGCTGGCGATGCTGCTGTGGCTGCAGCAGGAACAGCGGGAACGAGAGCGACGGCGACAGCGACAGCAACGGGAGCACG